GGTCTCCTGAGGTGTGGCTCTTGGTTCCTGTGGGTGGCCCCCTGGCCGGGGTGGCTGCCGGGTTCCGGGAGGTAGTCGGCTGGGGGTGGCGGGTGCACTTGGCCATTGGCGGTGTGGTGGGGTGGTCATGGGCGTGGGTTCTCTGTGGCGGGGGTTTGGCCGGGTGTCCTGGTGCAGCCTGGGCTGGGCCTTGGCTATCTGCTCCTTTCCACCTCAGAATGATTAGGTCTACCTCCTGGGTTCGGGTGTACAAATGTTTTTTTTTTTTTTTTTTTTTTTTTTTTTTGTCATTACGTTGGAATTTTGGAGGTCCATTAGCTGCCAGGCTGCAGCATTGAGGTTCAGGCCTCAGCTTTGCCTCGGCTTCAATCATGCAGAAAACTCACACACACCCTCCACCTTCTCCTCAAACCATACATGCGCACATGCTGAGTTGACACTTGGCTGACCGGTGCAGAGCAGAGGGCTGCACCTCCCATTACTGACAGCAGAGCTTGTGGTCTCGCTCCACTGGTGAGAGTGTCAGCAGCTCCCCATCCGTTCAGCCAGAAGCAGGGTAATGGATTGTGTTATTCCTGGTTGTTGACATTGCAGCAGATCTGAGGTTGAGTTTATTCCCCACCTCTCCTATTTCTCACACGCACGCACACTCTTCCTAGCTTCCTCTTGCATGTCTGTAGATTATTGCCAATTCTTTCTGTTCTTGCACCTCATGTGTGTCAGATACCATCATTAAAACCTCTCCAACAGTAACAGTGCAAAAATGAAGGCTATGCACGTCCATTTCTGAATGCTTTTTTGCATTGTATTCCAGTGTTTTCATGATGCAAGAGTGACTGTTGACTTTCAGCCCTTCAGCAGATTGTATTTTTTATTATTTTTTTCTTATTTTTGAAGGAAACAGATCCATTCTCTTTAGTTCATGCATAATATGTCCTGATTTAATGATGGTTAGTATAACTTGGATTCCTGCAATATTAAATGCAAACAAACACTAACAACTAAGATAAAACAAAGTGGACTTACAGTTTGCAAGAACTTGATAAGTGAGCCAATGTTTGAAAAGAAGTGACAAAATGACCAATTGAAAAAATTTAAGGCAACATACTGTATCTAACCAAAAAGCAACAGAAAAAATACCCAAACTATAGAGTATATCCCAGTAGATTTGTTCTTTTAGGTTTATTTCAGACAAGATGGAGCTTTTAAGAGGAAAGCTCAATTTTTGTTTAAATAAACTCAACACTCTCCTGTTGTCCTGCAGGCAGTTGCAACAGATCCTTTTCCAGTCAAGCTGCTCTACGATAAATCTCATGACCAGGTGTGGATCCTAACTTGGGGCGATGTGGACAAAACACACCCAACACTTCAGGTAGGTGGTCATTTTGAATGTAATTGGATACTGAACTACAGTAAATGCTTTGTCAATTGCTCAGTGTAATTATCTGGCACCTGGCTCTCATTTTAGAATTTTTAATTGTGACTGTGTAACGCAGTCTCGTTTTAAAATTGAGCAGAGTTTGAGAAGATCTAAAAGTAGTTTTTAAACCTACTTTGCAGTGTATGAATAGTGATGAGCAATTTAATTCCCGAGAGTAAATAATCTATATAAGCTGCAGACAATTTAAGTGAGAACAATTGAGCTCAGTTGTGCACCTACATCTCTGTTCATGTGATATAAGTATGATGTGCTCTAATGTCTTAATATGCATGTTTTAAAGCACAAGCCAGACAAACAGAATTCACAGCTGCACTGTTTTCAGCTTGTGCCTGGCGTCCCTTTGGACCACTGATGTTGGAGACTTCGCAAATGAGAAATGATCACAGGTGTGGTTGTATTTAATCCACCTCAGGGGACTGGGCAAGATGCAGGAGAGTAAGGCTGCAGAAAGGGTCGAGGAGAGGGAAGGGACCAGGACTGGCACTTATGGGAGAGGAGTGATGCTGTTTATAAAGAGCCAATACTCTGGTGTTCTGTTTGTCTGTGTAGCAGTGCAGGATGCTGCTGTGCGTAAAGCCACCAAGGGAGCTCATTGTAATCTCTGAAACAGACACAAGCATATGTATTGTTCTGCTCAGCCCCACTGGTGGGAGGGTTTTCTTTGCGACTGTGAGGAGATGTGTTCAGTCTTTGTGGTTTGGAGATGTTTTGTGTCTGTTTATTACAGTAACTGCATAGAGATGATACAAAATCAGATTAGTATTTTTTGTTTGTTTGTTTGAATAGTTGTTTTGAACAAAATTTTATAATCTCAAAATCTCTTAATTGTCTGTTTTTTTACAGTAGTGGTTTTGATTTAGAGTGGTAGTAACTTTTACGGATTAAGATCATTGTTGTTTTTGCTATGCTACACTTATAAGATTATATATTAGATTAGTTTGAATAAGTGTAGTCTATTATTGAATTTTAAAATGTATGCTTTGACTGCAAAATGGTTGGATTCAAAAGGTGCCACTACAGATTTGCAAAAATGCAGGAAAAACACCATCTGTATGTGGGTTTTAACAATTTTCCAACAAGGTAGATTTTGTGTGGCCAAACAGGCAGCAAATGTGTGTGCTTGCATTTACCTAGTTTTCTGTTATGCACTTGCTTCTGTGCAGAATTTCATACTTTGTAGCTGTCATAGTGTATGTCCTCCTGTGTGGAAGATATTAGATGTTTAATACAATGGCTAGTTGCAATCTTAATTGAAGCAAAAAAAATGTTTTAAGCACAAATTAAATGTTTTCTCTCTCCTATAAACCATGTAGAGTTTTGAAGGAAACAGTTCAACATTTTTCATTTTATAAATTTTCCCTTTTTTCCTGTGTTTGTGCAGAAGTAATGAATAATTAGTGAGGGGCATGAATCGATCAAAAATGCAATTGCACAGAAGCCGCATAATGGATTGAAGGCCACATGGCTCACACCACAAATAAATGGGCCGATAACGTCATTATCATTTTTGACTGAAAGTACAGTAATTGACCTGTTCAGGGGCAGCCTGTCACTACCTGAGGCATGGCATTCCTTCAGCAGATCATACATGTGTATGAGTGTCACTGTCTGATTGAGCATTCATGGTGTGTGTTCATCTCGGTGTGTGAGCCTTGAAGCAGCAGAGATTGAGAATAGTTCAATAACTCTGTGTAAATATCAAAGGGAGTGTGATTGTCAATTCATTAGAGAAGACAAATGGAGGAAATCTGCCATTCAGAGAAATATGGCCTTTTAGACTTTCAGTCCACATCTGCTTGCCTAATAGGAGGACATGTGTGTCTTGCCATTTCCCCATGTTTAGGACAAAAAAGAACATTAAATACTGTATTTTTGAGACAAAAAATTTCTAAAGCATTACACCACTATTTGGATAGAAGTATAGAGGATAATAACTCTTCATTAATTGAAAATGAGCAACAATCATTTACCACTTTCTAGTTTGGTGCATACGGGTGTTTTATTACACCAAAAAAGCAACTAATGCTACCCAAGTGTCTGGAAATGGTATCAATCCTACAATAAAATAAAACAAAACAAAAAATACAAAGTTATTCACAAATAAGTAAAGCATTTGAGATGATTCTCAATCTCTCCATGACCAAAGGACTCTAGAGGACCAGGACAGCTAGCAGTCTGAGTTGGTCACGAAACTATCGTGTACCAAAAATATTCTAGAGTCAAATACAAGACTAACAACTAAACCTTTGTGCAATAAGGCAATGGGCCTCATGCAAGAACCGTTCGTACGCACAGATTTGTTCTTAAATTGTGCGTACGAGTGATTTAGGAGAATTTGTGGCATTCACC